CAGGAGAAGGTGGAGAAAGGGTATCTGCCCCATAATTTGGCAATGGCCATCCTGAAAGGCAGATGCTGCGAGGGGACAGTGTGGGAGCAGACCGTGGGTTCCCAAAAAAGACTTGATTCTTTCAACCTTCACTTTTCTATTCCCATTGAGCCTTTATTCCCCTTTTAGCAGCAGGGATTCAGCCTCGAGGGGAGCAGCCCCTCCTTCCCAGCCAGTCCCAGGCACCATAGTTTTGATGCTTCCTTTCGTTAGGGCAGGTCGAGATATCTCTTGCAAGGTGCATGAGCTACTGAATGATCCAATAACAGCAAAAACAACAGGCAGCAGAGAGAAGCACGGGGCTAAAGCACACCTTGCCCGAGCAGTGAGCACTTGCAGGGACTGAGCGGGGATGTGGGTGTCTGCAGAACAACTGCTGCAACGGAGAGACTTTGGGAACCGTATCTGGTGCTTGCTGCTGTTGTTTTAAGAGCAGAGGATGAGAGCAACCTTGGGAAGGCAAACTAAAAAACAAACCCAAGGAAGCAAACAGTAAAACAGCCTATTTTTCTGGGTGGGTTGTGTGAGTGTAAGATCCCCTTTAGCAATCCAGGTGCTATCGACTGTGTTACTGTGATGGCAACTCCATCAAACCAGCAGCTCCTCTGATTTGAGCTCTGTGCCAGTGCAGCACAGACTGATTTTGGAGAGAAAAACCTGTTTGTAGCGATCTGCCTTAGCATCCAGACCTGATGTGGTACCCCAAAACAAACGTCCTCTCAGGGCACCTTTGCTCTGTGAAGCAAAATCAAATTACTGGAAAACTGGGCTGTAGATGCACTCACACAACCCACCCAACAAGGCAGATGAGCTACTTGGAAGCTAGAGGCGAATTTTGGACTATATGCCCTGTTGTGGGCAGTGCGGCTCCAGGGGTACCTAGGTAGCTCCATTCCCTGAGCACTGCCCATCGGCATGTATGCAGTGGCGTTAGCAGCTGCCCAGCCTGGGCAGTGGCTCCTGCGGGTTTATAAAGGTTAATATCTCTAATCTACAGACATCGAAAGAGCGATCCACCTACTTATGCAGGGGGCAATGGGAGACCGGCTTTGCTGGTAGCCTTTGGCGCATCGATTGCATGTGATGCCGGTGACACCGTCTTTACAGGGACATTGGCCTGTGGTTTGGTTACAGGTTTGGCCGGCAGCGCCCACGGGATGGCAATCGCACTCTGTGGGGGAACACAGAACAAGAGGGTCAGGGGGAGAGGAGAGCGGGCACAGGTGGCGTTGCGGCGTCGGCGGGGAGCGGGGCGAGCGCCCTGGACTGCCGGCAGCTCTTGTGGCACGGCTCCACCTTCTCCGCAGCTGGTGCTGGACCTCCAGCAAACGTCCCGTCCAGCCAGCGACTGCACTGACCTGAAACAGAGGTGGCATTTGTCAGAGCATGTGGCCATCGCTTGGGCGCAGAGGGGATAGCACTGGAGAGGGGATGGCCCAGCCACAGTCAGTCCCTCTGCGGAGCTGGAACTGTGGCCAGGATGTCTTGCTCAGGGCAATGCGTGCTCTACAGCTCCAGGGAGGCAGCGTGGGGTGTCCCCACTCAATGATACCCACCCATGGGCACTGCAACTGCCTCCTCCCATGGGTGCTGTGATCAAGAGTTTGCAGGATTTCAAGAGGAGGGGAGCAGGCAAGGCAGCACCGCTGGAGGACGCCGGGAGCCACAGCACCTGCTGCCCCCACCCCAGCCGGCTTCAAACCCCCTTGGGCTCCCTGGAGCAGTGGTGGGGCTGTAAGGAAGAGGTACAAAATCAAGGAGCATTTCATCACCCCTTCAGCACACAAGATCTCAGGCAGGAAGCAACTGCTTTCAGAGAAGTTGGGAATTCATTTCACGTGCACTACAAAAAAAAAAAAAATACCACTCTCCTTTCAGTGCTTTCGCTCGAGCCCTTCCCCGCTGAGCAGCATCCCTGGCAGCTGGCACTGCGGGCGCAGGAAGGAAATGCCCTCGTGGGATGCAGGCAGGCTGGAGGACCTGCTGTTCCCGGCCAGATGGATGGAGGCTTGACGGCAGAGCTGGGCAGATGTGAAGGGTTTGGCAGGGGATGTAAATACTGCACTTGAAATCATTCACCATCTCATTTCCCACAGTGGGACTTACCGGCGCAGCTGTTTGTTAAAAAAAAAAAAAAAGCGGAAAAAAAAAAAAAAGCATCGGGGCTTGTTATCATCACTGCTCCAAAAGGATTATGGCCTTGCACATTTGTTAACAGGCCTGATTTCTAAAAGCTGCAAGCGCCGTGCCAGACTGCGGTCTGCCCCTGCTGAGCGGTGGCAGGGAAAGGCAGGAAAGCTTTCCTTTTCTTGTGCAGCATCCTCAAGAAGGAGCCAGCCAAAACCCTCCCTGGGGAGCACTGATCCTGCTCTCCTTCTGCTCCTCAGGGGCCAGAAAGAGGGCTTGGGGAAAACCTGCCCCACTGCCCAAAACCTGGAGGGGGCTGGTCTGTGGGTCAGGACCAGTGCGAGTGTCTCCACGGGCTCCAGCAGCTGGGCTTGGCTTTCACCCACCCCCAAATCCCCCAAACTGAGCATATCACTCCCATGAGGGTTTGTGCTGGACCCTACAATGCTTCTTGGTTTGTCTTGTACACCCCTGGGTCTGAGACACCCTAAATCTGCCTCATTTGGGGATGGCAGATCACATCCCGTGTTCATTTGTGTTGGGTCTCCAAGTTTTGGTGTTTGGCTGGACCTTCCCTCCAACCCGCCCCAGCACCATCCTGCTCCCTGCAGCAACAGCCCCCAGTTTAACCTTTACTGGGCAGTAGCTCCCAGGCTGGTCTGCCTCGCAGCAGGGTTTGGATGGTGCCTGGAGCCTCCCTGCACTGGGATGTCCCCTTCTCCCTGCACGGGGCATCCCATCCCCAGGCAGCCCACCCCAGAGCATGAGCAAACACCCGCCGTCCCCCGGCTCCACCAGTGCTGGACGGGAAGATACCGAGCCTTGCCAAAACCTGATAATTTTTCATATGGGAGGGGAAAAAAAAAACCCAGCAACAAAGCTTTTGCTTCTTTTCTCCTCCTTCCCTAACACTTGCAATTTGGGGTTTTTGATTAAAAGTCCTACTCTCCCCTTCTGCCTTGAGCTGCCACTGGGAGCCAGCCGCTTGCAAAGCTGCCCATAGCGGAAAACTGGCTTTTCTATCAAACCCAGTTTTGATTGAAAAAGTTTTAACACTAAATCAGCGTGGCCGGTGATGAGCGCAGAGAGCAGAGTGACATTTAGGTGGGAAAACCTGCACACTGCACCCCCAAGGGATGGCTTCAGTATTGCTGGGGGAGAGGAAATAAAAACACATTAAGCAAGAGCCTGAAGAAGGAATAGGACCGAAAAGAGTTAAAGAAGAGTAGAAAGGCAGGAGTTAATATAAAAATAAGCAAATCAGGGAAGGGTTACACAAGAAGAGGCAAAGGGCAGGAGGATGGGGAGGAACATGCCTCATGTTTCAGGCGTTCCCTCTGGGGCTGCGCGTGCTGGTTTCAGGCATTGCCTGCAAACCCCCATCCTGTGAGTAATCCTCCCCCATGTGAACGGTCAGTGGGACCGCTTGGACGAGAGAGGGAATAAAAAAAGAGGAAAAAAAGGAAAAAAAGCCTTCGTGATGAGTAAGATTTACAGAATCAGGCTCTTGGAGGACGGGCTGCAGAGCACAGAGCACTCTTTTGGACACCACATAAATAAATAGCGATGCTGCTGCTTCCTTCCCTCATGAGGTAATGCCTCGGCACAGCTTGTCCAAAGCTGCCGTGGTTATTTTTACAGCCGTATCTGTCTGAGGTTGTCGACTCTCTCTCCAAGCCGGGCTCCTGCGAGGGCTCTGCAGCACGGGTGTTAGCCGTGTCCCCACGGGCAGGCATGATGTGCCCAAGGTTACAGAGCAAAGTGGCAGAGGAGCTGGGAATCACCAGCCCTTGGTCCAGGACCTCACCAGGAGCAACCCCTGGCTGATCTCTGATAGCTCCCTCCGACACGCCGTGGGGTAAATCCTCTCGGGGTGTAGGGATGTGCTTTCTGCCACCGGTCCCCAACTCTTCATCGCAACACAGGACCCTGCGAGTCCGGGACAACTGTCTTGAGAAGCAGCACTCCAGCTCCTCGAACGCCTGACCCCATTTTGACTTTTCTGTCTTCCAGAAAACTCTCTGAATCAGCAGCAACTCAACCCTCCTGGCGCGGGGAGGCAGGAGGTGGTCTAAGCAGTGTCTGCAGATGTACATTTGCCGTCCCTGTCCCGGAGGAACTGAACCAGTGCCAGCAATTAGGAGCAATTAAAGGCAATTTGCAGTTCCCTGGCCAGTGCAAACACTTGCAGCCAGCAATTACAGGCTCTTCTCCTTCCCCAGCCATGGAGTACCTGGGCTGCTGGTGGTTAATGCTGATTTTTCCAGTACAGTTCAAATTCCTTTGGGTTTTAACCCCAAATTGAGGAAAGACTGCACTAGAGTTGCAAAGAGGGGGTGATTGTTGCAAACACCCCTTTGGCATCCTCACTACCTTTCTGATAGGCATTTTTTGATTCATAAAACATGTTTTCATGCCCAGACTTCCCTGGGTGCAAGTGTTTGTCTGTCACCCACCGCGATGCATAACATCAGCAGTCCTCTGCACTGAGCAGAGCAGAGACCATGAGGCACCAGAGCTGAGAAAACCTCACTGATCAGGAAAGGAGGGTACCTGGGCCATCACTGAAGCTAATAAGGGGGATAACAGCTGATTTATCCCCTGTATCCTCATGCCTTGCTTAAAAGAATCACTCCACAGAGGAGGATGCAATGGTGCGGTGAGTGAGTTGGGAGAGGAGGAAACACGAATGACGTGGGTGCAAGAAAACGGCGTGCCTTTAGTCTGTTAGTTCACACAGCATTGGGGGGATGGAAAGTAACTGTCATGATTTAGTTCTTTCAGAAAGTCTTCAAGAAAAATCTTCAATGAGTGTCTGTGGCAGAGATGACCAGGAATTACTAGTGAAAAATGAAGTTATTTTGTGCTTAAAAATCTGGCTGTGGAGGAGAAAACAAGGAGCAGGAGTATATGGTGAGGTTTTAATGGGGAATGAAGGTAGCAATGGGGGTGCTCCTGCCCACAAAAGCTGATTTTTCTTATAGAATAACCATGACCTGGAAAGCAGGGAGCTAACGGCATTTCTAGGTGACCACCTTCAGCTTGGCTAGTCCAGACATGAGGAGACCACGTAGGTCTTCTGTGCGACCTACCCACACTGGCCGAATGGGTGAGGGGATAGCAGACAAAAACCAGCGTGCAGAAGGAGGCATAATTGGAAGGAGGGAACAGGATGGCTCATACACACTGAAGGGTCCCAATTAACTGCAGCCACTCCAGGAAAAGATCTAGGAGTCAATGAAACATCTGGCTGATTGCAACGGAGCTCAGAAGAGCAACAAGATAGTAGGTTGTATTATGAAAGGGGTAGAGAGCAACACTGAATATAATATCATGGCACTATAGAAATCAATAGTACGTCCTCAGCTGGGAAACTGGAGTGAAAGGCACGGAAAGGCACCCATCTGAGGGTGATGGAAAAGATTAGAAATGCCTTGCCAAGAGACGATGGAGGGATGCCAAGTAATGCACAGCGCCGAGAAGGTCAGACAGGTGCTCCTCTTCACTGGTCCTTAAAATACAGGAACAAAGGGACATTCAATGCATTTAAAAGGCAACCTTTTTCAATGATAAAAAGAAATGCTTCTTTGCACTGCACGTAATTAACTCGTAGAACTCATGCTACGAGACACCATGGCAAAGGCCCAACAGGATTAGATAGGCCTATGAATGAGAACATCTGTAGTTACATTAGCTGGGATTAATATATATACGGATATAAGCACTCCAAGCCAGCTACTAACTGCCTGCAGTTAGGAAGAGATTTCCCCTGGGGGCATGCTATTGCAAAACTGTCTGTCGTAGAGTTTTATATCTCTGTCTGAAGCTTCCAAGACAAGCCACTATTATATGCATGGGTATGCTGAGGCAGACCATCCTCCGCTCGAGCATAGGCAACGGTGCATTTCTGTGTTTCAGCTGAGATTTGGCCAGTTTAGGACTAAAAAAATACCTGAAAGCAAATCTTAGGACCATTCATGAAAGGATGCAAAATGCCCTGGAAAAGTGGCTGAACTTGCTGGGACGTCTCTGGCCCGCCGAAGG